AAGTACAGAGAGAGGCTCAAAGATTTGGCTAAAGGGCAGTTTGTTTAATGTCTACACACACACTTTAAAGACGGCTAATTTAGAGGGAGGAGCAGCAGGAAGTGGCACACGAATAACACATCGGTAAGCAGTTTAACCAACAATCTCTATACTGTGGGAGAGTTGGGAGAAGAGCGGGAAGAAATGGGATCCAATAGAGCTATTAAGCCGGACACCTTCTTTTTGACAGGATACAGGCATGCAAAATTGGCTAAGCTTCACTTGGCATCTCCGTGTTAGGTTCTCAGTAGAGGTTTCCAGTCCTTACAGTCCAGCCACTTGTGGATTGTGTCAAGGGCTGTTGCCATCAAAGGAAACCCTTCCGTTCAGAGCAGCTGCTAGTAAATCATTCTTACAGGAGTTGCACTGAAGCACTTGAGTCCCGTCATTGCCATTGATGTCAGAGTGAAATCACATCACCTATCTGGACTTGCAGGCTCCGCCGATGGGACTGTGTTGGCCCACACACCATTTCACACATACCTCTCTAAGACGATTGTCCTTTCTCGGCTGGTGGGCTGTGCCTGTCTCTGTCTTCTAATAGCTAGGCCGGCAAAGTGAGATGTGCCGGCCATAGCCAATCCACTACCAGGTGTTGTGAACTGGGCATACAACCACACACATCTATGTATAGATTGTTTACTGTGGTTGCTGCGTAACCATGGCGGTGTGGGGACTGGTCAGCAAAGCCTACTGCGGTCCTGTGACACCTTTGACAGCAGTGGTTCTCAACCTGTGGGTTGCGACCCTTTTAGGGGTCAAATGACCCTTTCACAGGGATTGCCTAAGACCATCAGAAAACACAGAAATAATTCACACTATATAATTACATCTTGTTTTGTGATGAATCACTATGCTTTAATTATGTTTAATTATGTTCAATTTGTAACAATGAAAATACATTCTGTATATCAGATATTTATATGACGATATCACAGTAGCAAAATGACAGTTATGAAGTAGCAACGAAAATAATTTTATGGTTGGGGGGGTCACCACTACATGAGGGTTGCAGCTTTAGGAAGGTTGAGAACCACTGCTTTACAGAAACTGTTGACTGATCCCTGGTCTAATACACTCAGAGGCTGTTGAAGACAAGGGCTACGTTGTGTTTGTTTTGGTTTCAGCTCACACCTCAGTACATGCAGTAATTCTGTCAACACGTGCTTGAGTCCCACTCTGTGCTAAGCACACTTCCAAGGGCTGGGGGTGCAGCTCTTAAAGGGAAGAGCTGAGCCTGCTCTCACTGAGTTTATAACCTCGTGCACACATCCAGTAAACAAACTAATTTGTCAGCAATGAATGCCCTGGAGAGAAGGAATTTGGCTCTGGGGAGTGCGGGGTGGGGTGGCGGTGGCAGGTGGAAGTCAGGGCCATGGTTATGATGGGAGCAGGAGTCTGGGCTCTGGGTGGGTTTGCAGATGACCAGTCAGGTGGGTTTGGGGAGTGGAGAATCCTTGGAGTGCTTGAGGAATCACGAGGAGACTATGCACAGAGCAGATAAACAAGAGGTGATGTGGGAGGAGATAAAGTCCCTGACTGAGATGGTGTTTTCTGGATCTGTTGTTTTGGGGTGAGTTTTCTCTGGGTGAGATGGGAAGACCCTGAAGGGCAGAGTTGGGAGGCAGCAGGCTCTGCCATCTTTTAGAGCAGTGGTTCTCAACCTTCCTAATGCCTCGACCCTTTAATACAGTTCTTCATGTTGTGGTGACTCCCCCAACCATAAAGTTATTTTTGTTGCTAATTCATAACTGTCATTTTGCTAATGTTATGAATTGGGCGACCCCTGTGATAGGGCCGTTCGACCCCCAAAGGGTTGTGACCCGCAGTTGAGAACTGCTGTGTTAGACTTATCTCATTTCTAATGATGGTGGTGTTTGTAGGTGCAAATGTAAGGCGATAATATGAAAACATTATGGTAAAGTCACGGAGAATAGGAGAGATTGGAGAGAGAGTAAAATAAAGGAGTCAGACATTGTATGGTAGCCTGCCCACCTCTGACACAGCCATGATCTCAGCAGCCAGGTCCACGCAGAGAGAACAGGAGGAGGAGAGGGGAGAGAGTCCTGTATTTCTGACCAAGGCCAGTATATACTTAGGGGTGTGCAAGACCCCCTAGTTTACAGGTAACCACATACATCACAGGAAGGGGCTGTACAATATGCGTCACAGGAAGGGGATGAGCTAGAGGTGGACACGGAATAGGAGTGTGACAAGAGGGGCCGATCCTAGACTCAAGATGGCAGCCTCACCTTGGTCCTCCTTGATTTGGCTGGACCTATTCTGAGCTCTCCTTCAGGAAAGCAATCCACTATCCTTATCAGCAGGGTGTGAGCCCCACCTATGGTGGGACAGACCATAGTCTGATTGCTCTATAAGGCTGAATGCCTTCAGGGAGACTATTTCTCAACATCTGACTGCCTACCATGTGCTAGCAAGCAGCAGACAACTTGGGGAAAAACCTTTCTGTATCTCACAGTCATCTTTTCTCGGAATTTTTGCCTGAAGGGCTGAAAGACCATGGGCTTGGGGTGGTGAGCGTGGGCAGAAGCCAGAAAGCCAGTTAGCAAAGGCTTGTGATACAATAATCCAGGTGAGAGATGTTCTGTCTTGGCCAAGGTACATGGAGGAGGGGCAGTGAGTTTCCTCAAAGTCAGCCTTCTCAAACCAGCTCAGTGCCTGACATGGAGCAGCCATCCCTTGATTGAGCTCCCAGGGGCATGCACCGCTGACTTCCCACTAGGGATTCTGATTCTGGGATGCTGGCTCCTGGTTTTACCAGAAAACAAACCGACAAAAAGTCAATGGTGTTTCCTTTAATCTACATCCATGCTTCTGATGGGCAGTGAGAAGATATTTCCATTTAGCACCCATTCCCTTTTAATGTAATTAGCCAAAGCACTGCTTATAAATTGCCATTGTTAGCTGTGTTCCAGTCCATACACAATAGAAGGAAAGTCTGCCTGGTTCCGCACCAACCAGCCACTAGTTTGGAATTGGTTGATGTGAATCGTAGGGTTTCTGTAAGCTGATTGTTGGAAGTAGATGGTCAGGCCTTTCTTCCTCGTTTATTTTAGTCTGAAAGTTCTGCTGAATGTTGTTCCGCATCCTAGCAACACGTAAACCTTCACTAATTGACAGTGAATGGCTACATATATGAGGTGTATTGGCTGGGACTTGAACTACCAGTCTCCCTGATGATCAAGTAACACCTTTCCATTGCTTCTCCGCCATCTATAGGAAAAATCGGAAGGGACCAAGTATGGGGTGTTCAGTTTCTTATAGCAGCAGTCTTGGGGTTTGCAAGGCAGGTTGTAGAAAGATGAATGAGCTCTCATATTTCAAATTGCAGCTAGTGAATGGTTGAAGGGTTGTTTTTAATGTCAGGCTTCTGCGAAATCAGAAGCTCTTTAATTTTTAACAGGCCCGGAGCATGCTTTCGACTTAACGACCAGCGACCCTTCAGTGGGTAGCCAGATAAGCATCACTTTAATGAAAGCACCACATGGTCATTGGGTAGGAAGCTGTTTCAAAGAGGGTCAGGGTATTATCGAAATCACTAATTTTGCAGATAACTGGGAAGTGTGAATACAAAAAGGCAGGTTGTCAGGATCACTCAACACAGCTTTGGACATGAGGTGGGCTCATAAATCCAGCTGAGCAAAACCCCTGGGGCATGATGCGAGTTTGTGTCCATTTTTGGAATGGCCCCATTCGCCCCCAGCCTGCCCATCCCCAGCCTGTTAGCGCAGGTCTTGGCTAATGGGCTTGAAAGAACGACAGTTGAAAGGGGCTTGGTTCCCAGTCCTGCTAATAAGCAGGAGACCTCTTCACCCCGGTTTCCACAGAACTGGGATTCTGTGGATGCTTGCGCCTGCCCATTTGCAAGGGCCAGTAGGTTCACAAAACCCACCAGGGGGCCAGTCTGGAGGGAAGCAACAAAGCTGGTGGAGGTCATGCGCTCTGGTGTGAGGCTGGACCGCCTGCTGCCCTGGCCTGTTGGCTAGCAACAGTGACCAGCCTTTGACCGGATTTCAGGCCCCTTGTAAGCCTCCTTAGGATGATGCAGGCTACTTAAACCTGCTTTCACAACGGTCATTGTTCACCATGAAAATCCTGGTTCTGATGACTTTTGGTCATTAGATTTCATCATTCTAATAAACACAGTCACTGGTACCAAAGTGAGCCAGATACTTTCTGCGCTTCCTCCTGCCGACCCCAATCCCAACCCCGGATTAAACAGAAGAATGACAAACACATATCAGAAAGATTACTAACACTCCTTGTGAACATTGGTGTTTTTCTTTCCCCTTGATGCTCACTGTATTTTAGAAACTGACAACAACAAAGTGTTACCGCCCTGCATTGCGTCGCATGTGCACATCATGCCCGTTTACACATTGTGTTGCTCTAACGGGGGTGGGGTTGCACCCACCGATGGATGAACCTACCCCATATCGTTGAATCGTACGTGTGAAAATGCCTGGTGCGTCAATAGCTTGGTTGCAGAGAGGTTTACCACAATCAGGAATCTATAGTTCAGCAGTGAGTGTTTTTCCATTTTTATTTTCAAATTCAAGTCAAATCTGGAGGTCGCACAGTAAGATTATTGTGGCTGGGTACAAATGCTGGAAATGGCAGGTTTGAGATCATGCCACTTTGGAGTGAGCCCTCTTAAAAAATACAATGGCAACAACAACAACATGAAGGCTTTCAGTTCCTTAACCTTGGAGAAAATATGAGTTGGCCGGTGTGAGTGGTTCTCCCCCCTCCCCACCTTATGTTCTTGATGAGTAGAAAGAGAATGACCTGGAATGTACACCAGGCCCCCCCTCCGGGACTGGCGGTGGGAGGGATTCATAGAGGCAGGCCAAGCTGACACACCTCCACGCCCCCACCCCACCCCACCCCACCGCGGCTGACCCCCGAGTGCCTAATCAGACCTTCTGTTCTGTTTCCAGATAGCTGACCAGCTTCCGGGGATCTTGCTGATGACACAGGAGAGTTTCGCCTGAAGATGGAAACACTGGAGTCGGAACTGACCTGCCCTATCTGCCTGGAGCTCTTTGAGGACCCTCTCCTGCTGCCCTGCGCACACAGCCTCTGCTTCAACTGTGCCCACCGCATCCTGGTGTCACACTGTGCCACCAACGAGCCTGTGGAGTCCATCACCGCCTTCCAGTGCCCCACCTGCCGGCATGTCATCACCCTCAGCCAGCGAGGTCTAGACGGGCTCAAGCGCAACGTCACTCTGCAGAACATCATCGACAGATTCCAGAAGGCATCTGTGAGCGGCCCCAACTCCCCCAGTGAGACCCGCCGCGAGCGGGCTTTTGACGGCAACACCATGACCTCCGCGGAGAAGGTTCTCTGCCAGTTCTGTGACCAGGAGCCTGCCCAGGACGCTGTGAAGACCTGTGTCACTTGCGAAGTGTCCTACTGTGACGAGTGCCTGAAAGCCACTCACCCCAACAAGAAGCCCTTTACCGGCCATCGCCTGATTGAGCCCATTCCCGACTCCCACCTGCGGGGGCTGATGTGCCTGGAGCACGAGGAGGAGAAGGTGAACATGTACTGTGTGACCGATGACCAGCTGATCTGTGCCTTGTGTAAACTGGTCGGGCGGCACCGGGATCATCAGGTGGCAGCTTTGAGTGAGCGCTATGACAAATTGAAGGTTAGTCCGACCCGCCTGAAGCCAAAACCCTTTTCTGCCAACAGATGTCAGGGGAAGCCAAAGTGATAGCTACGTGGCAGGTGAAGCTTTGCGCTTCACCTCTTTTATCTGATTCGTTGTAGCATGTTCCTGGCAGCCTCCAAACGTTACACAATAAGGCGATCTTGTAAAAGCGCACTGCTGCTTGTAATTTTAGCGTGGTTCAAAGGGGAGGGCCAAATCTGAAAATCTGTATTCATTTCAAGCCTGGCTCTGCTTTTCTTGAGGGGGGTGGCCACGGTGGGAGGTGGGGTGGGAGTGGGGGGAGGAGAGAAAGAGAATGAGAATGAACAGAAAGGATGGTGGATAAAATCTACTTTGAGCATTTGTTTTCCTCTCTCTGCAGGGAAAACGAATTCTCCTCACCTTGTACCTGTCTCTAGTTACCACACAAATAAAAGAACAGAAGGGGGCCTCTCTGTAGCTAAAGCGGGGCTTTAGAAGACTGGGGACGTTTTCTGCCTTGTGTAAATGATACTCACTCTTGGGGAGCGAAGACCTTTGGACGGCTCAGGTTTCATGAAAGAATTTCTTTCCGTGTAGTCTCTTTATCCAGGAATGTAACAAGCAGGGCCACTTGAACTTCACTGTTCACAGGACATTGTTAACCCAACTCCAACCTGAGGTATAATAATTAATATGATTTGATGTCAAATTAACAAAACCACTGTCTAAATAGGGAGTGAATGCATCAGGGAAGAACTAATAAGTCCCGTCGCCACCTGGCTGAGCAACCTCAGGTGACTGTGGGTGTAATTAGTGGAGACTCAGCTGAGAGAGCCTGCCTCCGAGAGCAAGAGACCTTGTTCACTAGCTAATTTTAGATCATGGAACACCAATTAAACGGAAAGGAAGTATAAATTAAGAGCTTTAAGTAAATATACACCGGGGCCCTTCCTCGCAGGAAAAATACACACCAGGGTCTTGAGCAAACAATGAATCACATGGACAAAAGAGTGTTACCGCTCAGAGACAATTGTCACCTTGTACAAATGGTTCCTGTCCTTCCTCCTGCACACTAATGGGGGCTGTGTTTGCCGGGACCATGCCATTTATTTTTGGAAGTGGGCTCAACTGAGCCCATCTGTGACTGAGCTCAGAGATTTTGCATTGTGCTGAGGGACGCTGACGTGCTGAAAGTGCATCCCTGCTTCTAAATGTCCCTTGTGGAGAACAAAAGCAACACCTGCACAGCACAGCTCACTGAAAGAAAGTGTCCAGAGCGTGACAGGGGCAGGTCCCTCTACAAAGGAGGCAGAGGAGGTTAATCCTAAGGCTTAACTGATACACACAGACGCTGACCACTTTGTGGAGTAATGTACGGTAGTTGTTCCAGAACGTACCACTAAAGTTCATAATAGCAAGGGCGATGCCTGGATGAGTCGTGTCTCTAAAACGCACTCTTCAGAAATGGAAATGGCTTGGTGGTTTGTTTAGAAATCAAAGTGAATCCTTGTTGTTTTGGTCCTTTATCTTTCTTTGGAGTTGGCGTATTCAGGCTGCTTAACAGGGAGATGTTTGATTTCTGTTTCCCCCCAAAAAACAAAAACCCATGCCAAATCTCCCCGTTCCCTTCTTTATAAAAAAACCGTCCCTTTGATTGGGTTTCCACTGCCTTCTATAGCCTGTTCACATAATGATACTTGGGGACTCAAAACTCCCAGGCTGGAGAGTCCCGACTGGGAGTCAAGTTCTATTCATTACTTGTGTAATGTCACGGGGGAGTTATTAATTACTTAAAGAACATCCCCAAATTTATAAGGAGATACTGTCTTGGTCTTGCCCAATGTTGTGATGATAGCGCAGCCTCTTCAATTAAGCCCCACTTTCTTGTCGAAGCAAGCCCAGGGAGTTAGCCATCCCTGCTTCTGACAGATAACGCTATAGCATATTGTATTTTCTAATTACAGAAATCATCCTTGCTTCTGACAAATAACGCTATAGCATATTGTATTTTCTAATTACAGAAATTGAAGCATATAAATAGCATCCAATACATGCACACACTTTTGCAGCCATTCGAAAAAAATGTGCTGATGAACATTCAAACAAGCGACATACTGGCAGAAAATGTTTGCTTCAAAGCATGTGATTTATGACAGAGTTGTTGTTTTTTATAGAAAAAACCTAAAAAATCTATGATGCTTGGGCTTCTCTTACTATTTCAGTGATCACATATTTGTGAACATATGGACGTCCTCGCTATGTGATTGTGATTTCTTGTTATTGTAACCTAAGTACCATGCAAACATTGAGTTCTGAAGGAAGCACGAGCATGCCAAGGAAGTCTATTTTTTTAATGATTACTTGGATCAAAAAATTGCATTCTGTATGAATGTTTCTGAGGCTCTGCCATCTTGTGTAGATACGGATTTGAGACGATGTAGGACACAAATAGAGCATGAAGAAACGAGGATGTTTTCATCAGTAAGACGACAGATGTGTCTTAATTTATTTGCATGTGTAAGGACCCAGGTGTCTCCCATTCCAAACCTTTTTTGTCCTTTAGTTAGGAAAAGTACATTATATGAAGAGGGGAATTATGTAATGCTTTTGGCACATAATTATGTCTTGCAGTAAGACGAAGCTTTGGGAGACATTTTTGATTCATATAGATTTCAGCAAAAATTGCTTATTTCTTAATTGTTTAGACATCACAGCCCCAAGTATAAGAGAAAAATAAAGCACATTAAAAAATGACACCATGTAGACTTCATGCTGATCAAATCACCCACCTGATCTGAAATGGTGTCTTGTTAGAAATATAATGCTTTTGCAGCCTCTGCAAAGGGAAGCATTTATAAAATACTGAAGCAAAGTGAAAAGTGAACTAGCATTTCCTGGAAAATATTTTAACCCCAAATCGAAAAGTTTTCCTACCAAATGCTAACATCTCACAATACGAGCCTTGTTTTACATAATTTTAAAGAGTTTCCAGAAGCTTCTCTCAGTCCGCCAAACATGGATTAAAAGTTTGCTGAGCCACGTACCATATTCTTGTTGTGAGGTGCTGCCAATGCTTCATGGCAACCTGCACCCTCTCACAGTTGTTGCTGGATTTGAGGTTCTGTTGCAGCCACTGTGTCAATCCAGGTGGTTCAGGACTCATTCTTTCATTGGCTCTCTACCAAGCATGATGCCCTTCTCTGGGAATTTGCCCAAATTCCCGGATGTGAGATGAAGGCTCCCCATCCTTCTTTCTGAGGATCTTCTGGCTGTCCTTTTTGTAAGACAAATGCGATCATTCTCAGTTAATGGTCTATTCAATCTTCTTTGGCCTTCCTTATTCATCGTCCAGCTTGTGTGTGCAGGTGAAGTCAGAGAAAAGACCCCGGCTTAGGTCAGGAGCACCCTAGTCGAGACTTCGCTGTAACATCTTTGCTTTTGAGAATCTTAACGACGTCTTCTGGTTGTTGCATATTGTATGTTTTTACTTTTGTGATATTTTTTCAAAAAGACCAAATGGTACTGATGAAGGGTGACACAAGGGAGTTTTATGGAAAATAAACTATTCTATATCCTGATTACCATGGTTATTTTGCAAATCCACCCATGCAGTCAAATTCGTAGATCTGTGCACAAAATAAGTCCCAATTTTATTACATGATAATTTTAATACAATTACTATGTGCATTAAAAAGTATTAGGATCAAAAAATCGAGTCACTATAAATGAATTGCCTTTAGGGTCTCTTTGCAAAGATAATGTTAAGTAAAAGTTAATTCCTGTAATATTTACTTCAATTTATCTTTTCACTTCTTGAATTTACATTTTTCTGTATGTTAGCATAAAATAAAGAAGTCTTTTGTAGCAGATTTTCCAAGTACACTAAATCGTTTGATTTCTTCGTTGCAACTTCCATGGGTGTTGGTTATGGATCTGAGAGAAAATTAACCCTTGACAGTTTCAGTGTTTTCTCCATTTATCATGATGGTACTTATCGGTCCAGTTGAGGATTTTTCTTTTCTTGATGTTGAGATATAATCCATACTGGAGACTATAGTTCCTGATCTTCATTAATTACTGTTTTAATCCCTCTTCACTTTCAACAAGCAAGGTTGTGTCACTTGTATATCTCAAATCGTTAGTAAGCCTTCCTCCCATCCTGATACTACATTCTTTCTCATATACTCCAGCTTCTTGGATAATTTGCTGAGCAAACAGATTGAATAAGCGTGGTGAAAGGATGCAACCCAAGCACACACTTTTCCTGATTTTCAACCGTGCAGTTTCCCCTTGTTCTGTTCAAAACGACTGCCTCTTGGTCTATATATAGTTTCCTTAGGAGCACAATGAAGTATTCTAGAATTCCCATTCTTTACAAGGCTATCCCTAATTCTTAATCCTCACACACTTGAATGCCTGTCAGCCAAGATCTATCTGATATTAGCAATGATGTCCCTCATTCCACATCCATTTCTGAACCCAGCTTGAATCTCTGGAAGTTCCCTGTTCATGTAGTGCTGTAACCCTTTTTGAGTACTCTTCAGCAAAATTTTACTTATGTGTGGTATTAATGACATTCTTCCACAATTTCTGCATTCCATTAGATCACTCTTCTTTGGAGGGGGCACAAATATGGATCACTTCCGGTTGGTTTACTTGGTAGTTGTCTTCCAAGTTTCTCGTCACAGACTGTTTTCTTCTAGAGAAATGACAAGGGTTTTCTCCCCGTTTTGTTATGCAAAATAAGACTTCATGTTGTCTTTTGGAGCCATATTTTGAAATCTCTGTTTAACTCTTCATTATGTAAGAGTCTCTTCTGACATCCTTTTTTCCCTTTTCTTTCTAACTTTTCAATGACCCTTTGTTTTCTTCTGGTGCGATTGCCTTGAGGTCATCGCACAACTCATCTGGTTTTCAGTCAGGAGGGTTCAGGGCATCAGATCTAGTCTTGAAATGACCTCTACATTCATGTGGAGTGCGCTCAAGGGCCTTGTCCTTTTCTTCCCCTCCAGCTT